TCGTGGGGCTTGAACTCTGGGCCTGGGTGCTGTCCCTCAATACTTCAGCTCAAAGCAAGCACTCTACCTGAGCCACAGTGCCATTTCCAGTTTTCTGAGTGATTTATTGGAGGAGATAAGAGTCTCACAAACTTTCCTGCCCGGGCTGGCTTTGAACCACAATCCTCAGATCTCAGCCTCCTGAGTAGCTAGGATTAGAGGCGTGAATCACCAGCGCCCTACCTTGCTTTTCTTTTTTGTTTCTTTCCAAAACTACTCTGGGAGCTGGGAAGGTGGCTCAGTGGTAGAGCATTTGCCTTGCATGCATGAGGCCCTGGGTTCGATTCCTCAGCACCACATAAGCAAAAAGCCGGAAGTGGCGCTGTGGCTCAAGTGGTAGAGCGTTAGCCTTGAGCTGAAGAGCTGAGGGACAGCGCCCAGGCCCAGAGTTCAGGCGCCACGACCGGACCCAAAAAAAAAAAAAAAAAACAAAACTACTCTGTATTTATATAAATGTGAGCTACTAAAGGAAAAATGAGAAGTGTATGACAGGAAAGTAAATCTCGGTCATTCAGGCATTTAGTACTAGTGAGAGGTAAGGAGGCACCAACAGAGGGTGAAATAAATGGAGTTGAAGTCCTTTATATGCATGTATGAAAATAGAATAATGAAGTCTGTTGAAGTTGTTTTGATAGGGGGAAAAGGAAGCAAAAAGTGAAAAGATTAACTTTGATTAGGGTACCTTGAACACCTGTATGGAAAAATCACAATGAACCTCCTCCTCTTTATACAACTCATAGATGCTAATAAAAACATGGGAAAAAAAGTATCTGATAAAATTTAACCTTCTTCCACAATAAAAACACTAAAGAAACAAGAAACACAATGAAATTACAAAAAAAAATACAATAGAGATTACATATTTAAAATCAATAGCTAACTTCATATTCAAATGTTAAAATATTTCAAAGCCACCTGGCTCAGGGACAGAGCCTAGGCCCTGAGTTCAAGCCTCAGGACAAACAAAAAATAAAAGTCTGCATGTTTGAGAACTAAATAACGGTATTAAAACACACATATTCAACATGATTTTCAGAGTCAATACAATCACTATCAATATTTCAGAAATACTAAAAACAATCGTGAACTTCTTAATGAACCACAAACAGCCCCACTGAGACAAAATTGTCTTGGAAAAAAACAAAAGTGAAGAAGATATATATATATATATACATATATGTTGTTGTTGTTGTTTGTTTGTTTTTGCAGTTGTGGGGTGGTGCTAGGTGCTGTCCCTGAGCTTTTTTGTACTCAAGGCTAGTGCTCTACCACTAGAACCACAGCACCACTTCTGGCTTTTTGAGGGATCAATTGGAGGTAAGAGTCTTATGGGGACTTTCCTCTCAGACCTCAGCCTCTTCAGTAGCTAGGATCAGAGGTGTAAGCCACCAGCATCTGGCTAGCTTTATATTTCTTGACTTCAAAACATTTTTTGAAATTGTAATATTCAGGGGCTGGGAAAGTGGCTCAGTGGTAGAGTGCTTGCCTTGCATACATGAGGCCCTGGGTTCAATTCTTCAGCACCACATAAGCAGTAAAGGCCAGAAGTGGCACTGTGGCTCAAGTGGCAGAGGGCTAGCCTTGAGCTAAAGAGCTGAGGGATAGCACCCACGCCCAGAGTTCAGGCCCCACGACCGACAAACAAAACAAAACAAAAACTACAATATTCACAATAGTGTAGTATTTGCCTAAAGGCAGACGTAAAAACCAATGGATAAGGGAAGGCATGACATTGTACAAAAAGAAATATACTATTTACCTGACTTACATAACTGCACACCACCTTTACATTAATAATTTTTTAAAAATTAAAGCACTGGAACAAAATAGTAAATCCAGGGATAAACCCACAGAGTCTAATAATCTTCAGCAAGACTCCATAAGACAAGACTCCATAGTAGGGAATAGAACAGTGTTTTCCACAAATAGTATTGAGAAAACTGGATTTCCACATGCAGGTAAATAAACTGAACCATTACACCATACTCAAAAATCAGTTCTGTGGGTAGGGATGGTAAGGAAAATCTGGAAGAATGAAAGGGGAAGGGGTAACATTGTCCAAAAGGAAATGTACTCTTTACCTGACTTATATAACTGTAATCCCTCTGCACATCACCTTTATAATAACAATTTTTAACTCATTGTATTTGATAAATTAAAGACTTTAAACAAGACCTGAAACTACAAAAATCTTTAAAGAATAAGAAAGTGTGAAAACCTACATGACTTTAATCTTGGTAACAATTTCTTTACAATGACACCAAGAACACAGGCAACAAAAAGCAGAAGTAGGCAATTAAGACTCTACTAAATTAAAAGGCTTTTTCACCAAAAAGGAATGGAGTCAAAAGGCAGGCTACAGAATGAGAAAAAATATTTACAAATGAGTTAATGTCCAAATACATGAAGAACTCCTATAACTCAACCACAAAACATCAAATAACCCATTTTAAAGTTGGGCAAAGTGCTTAGGCACCAGTGGCTCACAACTGTAATCCTGGCTACTTAGGAGGATAATACCTGGTGGATCAAAATTTGAAGGTATCCCAAGGAGAACAGTCTTCAGTTTTCCAATTAATCAGCAAATGTCGGGTTGGAGGCATTATTCTTGAATTTACTTCTATCTCAATAGAATAGTTACAATTAGAGCCTAATGATCTGTATAAGAAACTATCAGTTTCATTTTATCTTTTTCCCTTCCTGTTGGCAGTCAATTCTAAAGAATATAAAAACTGAATGTTTTCCTAATGAATTATTCATATATGAAGACTATATAATAGGAAAATACTTACCAACAGTACAGCTGTCTTCAAGTACCACATCAACATTTCTGTCTCTGTATTCAACTCTGAAGTCTAGCATCCGAGGTTGCCTTTCTACAATCTGCCTAGATGGCATTACAGGTCGAAATGCTGAAGAAGAGGAAGTAGAAGTTGGAGCTGGGTGACTTGCTGGATCAAATGCAGGTCCTGGTATGGTCTCACCTCCATAGTCACTAAATGTTGACATAAAAAAAGTTTTTCAACAACCAAATCATTACAGATTATACTCCTAACGCTTTCTTTATCCCCAGCTCTGTGTTCTTCCTACCAACTATCCTACTGATATTAAAGCCAAACTAAAGTTCTACTTCCTCCAGCAAATGAAGGCCACATTTTATTCTTCAACCCATCTTTGCCTTTTTAGTTTATTAACAGCTACCTTGTGAAAAGGACCAAGTACCCTCACTATGTTTGTAAAATACTCATTTAAATGCTGAAGTAAAAACCTTGTCTTCTCCTTCACTCATTCTCACTAAATCACTATTTAACTCATTATCTTCCAAAAAGACTTTTTTGAAACTTCAATGTCCTTAAAACCTAATTCTATCTGACTCCTGGCATTAAAAGGTTTTTTTGTAGTTTATTTAAATAAAAAAAAAGCAGAAGTCATCAGAGGAAATTACTTTATCTTCTTGTTTTGTTTTGTTTTTTGGTCCAGTCGTGGGGCCTGAACTCTGGGCCTGGGCACTGTCCCTCAGCTCTTCAGCTCAAGGCTAGCACTCTACCACGTGAGCCACAGCGCCACTTCTGGCTTTTTTTCTTTTTGTTTATGTGGTGCTGAGGAGTCGAACTCAGGGCCTCAGGCATGCAAGGCAAGCGCTCTACCACTGAGCCACCTTCCCAGCCCTACTTTATCTTCTTAACATCAATTCCATAAGCTATCCCACACATGCACTGTCTCTTTTTCCCACTTTCTATGAAATAAAGGGGGAATCACTTTTCCTATGTGTGTGAAGTCTAAAAGCATCTTTTAGCATTAGAGATTAACTCCACTCTCTTCCCTTCATCTCTTCTGGAAACATGTTTCAATGTTTGTCTTCTTGACAGAAAATAAAAATGAAATCCTAGCTCTGCCCTTTTAATAGCAGTCTTATTTGTAAAATAAGGAAAAATAACAATATTTGCACAATGCCTGAGATCTAACTAGTAATACCTCATACCTCAAACTCAAAGATCACATTATTAATGTTTTCCCAAGTCTGATTCTCCACTATTATCAGCAACTTAAGCCAGAAACCTATGACAGTTATCTTTGACCCCCTTCCCAGGCACCCACATCTTTTCAATATTACCTCTTATATATCCTTTGGATAAGTCATGTGCCTTTATCCTCTGAAGCTGCCATCTTAGACCAAGTCACAACTTGTGTACAAAGTAATTCAATAGCCTTCTAACCAATCTCTTACTCCTCCACAAACTACCATTATAGTGAAACCAAAAAACAATTGTCTTCAGACCATGCTCTTCCTTAATCTTTCCATTGTTCCCTCTGCTCTTCAGATAGTAGCAAAAAAAAGTCCTGTATTATCTAAATCCTATCCATCTTCCAAGCATAATCCTGCACCATATTATCTTCTCTCTCTATGCTAATAACCACAAAAGCCTTCTCTCACCTTGATCCTTCCCATTTCACAGGAACACAGGCTAGTCAAAGAATATTCTTTTCCTCCCCAACTTCATCTCATTTCCATCTTTCAATTACCAGATTTATACAAATCTCTCATTTCGGATTATTTTTCAACTCAGTACTTTTGCTACCACACAACTAGGTCTAATTCCCCATCATCATCTATAATTACAAAATTATATATATTACCAATCATTAGACACCTACTACAATATAGTAGTGATATTGTAGTAGATATATGTATATACATAAATAGTACTATCATTTAAGAAGTACTATATATACATATATTCATAGTTATTACAATATGTACGATAATATTATAATCATAATACAGTTCCACAAGGACAAAGCTCACATTTTTGTTTTTAATGGCTGTGTCCTCTTGCCTTCAGTTCAAAATTTTATACATAGAAGGCATCTGAATTTATCAAACTAATGAATACAGAAGTAATTGTTTAAAGCGCTGGCTTTTCTGACTTAATATGTCATACATTTTGTAATGTGCTTAAGATCTTACTGACCAGTAATTACTGATACAAAGACAAAAACCTACCCTTTCAAGTGTAAGAGGAGGTGCAGAAATGGAGGGACAAAGGGTGAACAAATGCAGCAATGATATTCAAGGAATACTATGTTGAAGATGAACTATACAACTTACAGGTGGAAATAACTGGGAAAGCAAGGGAAGGGGTGGTATTGTTCAAAAGGATATGTACTCTTTACCTGACTTACATAACTGTAACCCTCTGTACATAACCTTTATAATAACAATAAATATATTTTAAAAGAAAAACCTGGCAGGGTGCTGGTGGCACACATCTATAAACCTAGCTCATTAGGAGGCTGAGATCTGATGATCCCTGTTCAAAGACAGCCCAGGCAGGAAAGTCTATCTCCAATACAGTACTCAGAAAAAGCAGGAAGTGGCATTGTGGCTCAAATGATAGAGCACTAGTCTTGAGCACCAAAGCACAGGGACTGTGCCCAGGCCCTGAGTTCAAGCCCCATGTCTGGGGCTTAAATCTCAGTTACAAAATTCAAGAAAGTAGTCATATGATGAATACATGGGAAAATATCCAAAGCAGGAAAAAATATCACTGCTGAGATGAAAAAATGAGCTCTTAAATATTTATAATCAGAATATTTATGGTGACACATACCTCTACGGTTTATTTTTAAATCAGGAAAGCCCGGCACTGGTGGCTCACACCTGTAATCCTAGCTACTCAGGAGGATGAGATCTGAGGATCTGGGTTCAAAGCCAGCCCCGGCAGGAAAGTCCGAGAGATTCTTATCTCCAATAAACCACTAGAAAACCGGAAGTGGCACTGTAGCTCAAGTAGAAGAGTGTTCGCCTTGAGCTGAAGAGCACAGGCACAGCACCCAAGCCCAGAGTTCAAGCCCCACAACCGACAAAAATAAATAAACATATATATATATGGGAAAATCAGTTTAACTTACTAAGCAGCTAAAAACTGTTAAGTTTAAATTACTGACTTACTGTTTCTAGTTTCCGTATCTATCTTTCTATATAGTCTATTCTATGATGTTGGGTCTGAGAATCTGCAAAACTTCATTTCTTCCGAATAAATGGCTTCTCAGTAGATTTTAACCAATAGAGGATACTACAGATTGCTACAACATTATGACCTCAAAGATATGCCTGAAAAACAGCAATAGGCAAAACACCTCCCAGTGGAAAGAAGTTAAGATTATATCATAAGTTGAACATTTCATCTGGAAGCAAAAAGATCTTGAAATCAAAATTTTCATTAAATCATAAGTAATTCAGGTTGGAAAACTGATCAGGCTTTGTAAATAATAAAACTGGAAAACTAAGTGACAAAAAAGTTTAGGAAAGCTGGGCACTGGTGGTTCATGCCTGTAATCCTAGCTACTCAATAGGCTGATATTTAAGGATCATAGTTCAAAGCCAGCCAGGGAAGGAAAGTACATGAGACTCTCATCTCCAAGTAACCACCAGAAAACCAGAAATGGAGTTGTGGCTCAAGTGGTAGACCACTAATCTTGAGTAAAAAAGCTCAGAAACAGTGCCCAAGCACTGAGTTCAAGCCCCATGACCAACAAAAAGAAAAAAAGTTTTAAAAAGAGGTAACAGTTTAACAAAATGAATACAAGAAAGCCAAAATATTTCTTCTCTGAAGGGGTAGGAGCTAATGGGAGGGGAATGGAAAACTGGAAAGAAGAATGGTAGGACAATATAGTCATAAAATTCCATGTACATGCATACATTGCAAAGATGGGGAGAGAGGAATAATAGAAGGTCAAAAGATAGTATTACCTAATCTCAAAAAAAAACACCCAAAATTTTATAGTTAGGCCTTGGAATTTTTGGAGAAATAACAGCTCACAAAGGTATCAAAAGTACATTGGTGCCGGTATCATTTGTGGAGGGGAAGGGGAAAAACAAATCGTTTAAATAGGGATACCGGTGGACCCATTGCAACAATGAGATGTACAAGTCGTTATGTCGAAAAGGAACTTTACAACTTTGGTGCGGGAGTGGG